GAGAGAGAGAGAGAGAGAGAGAGAGAGAGAGAGAGAGAGAGAGAGAGAGAGAGAATATTTTAAATATTTATTTTTCAGTGGACACAACATCTTTATTTTATTTTATGTGGTGCTGAGGATCAAACCCAGCACATGCCAGGTGAGCACGTTACCGCTTGAGCCACATCCCCAGTCCCAAAAGTCCTTTTTTAAGTTTTCTCTGCACATTGCTTACATGTTATTGGAAGTTCCATGTAGGAAGCATGTTTTTAGGGGAATCTCAATTGACAGGTGAGACTGAACAGAACTGAAGCAACTGGAAGATTCTCTAAGACTTACATGCTACACTATAATTTTTCTCAGGTAAGATCCTCACCTCTTTATCTGATTGCTAAGAAGGCTAGCGAAGGCCTAGGTTTGAGGATGCCAGAGTGGAAGTCTCTGGGTATCATCCAGGCCATCTCTTCCTTTTACTCTTGGAAAAACCAAGGCCCCAAATGGTTAGGCAACTTGCCTCTAGGTTACACAAGGAACTGGAAGTATTGTTTGGGTTAATGCTGCCCCCATCCAGTTCCAGAGTCAACACAACAAGACTTGCCTTTGACCACTGGTAGGAAGAAAATAGTTGGTTGTTTCATGGACAGAATAGATAGGACAATGTATCTGGGTCACTGTGACTGGAAAGCAAATGACTGCACAACTGAGTGACATACCCTTGTTGATCATTTCCTGAATTTCCCACCGTGACACCTGCTTGAGATACAGCTTACATGACAATCCAAAATCTCCCTCCCCTCCTCACTGTAGCCTTGCCCAGCATCTATTCTCAAAGCCTTAACTGTATGAAAGGTGTAGGTCACCAGATTAGAATAAGAGGAAAACATTTTCACTAAAAAACAGAATCCCCTCTCCCCAGTCCAAAAATCACCAGGAAGGCCGAGCAAAGTAGGCTTCGTGTGTGTGTGTGTGTGTGTGTGTGTGTGTGTGTGTGTGTAACCATGATGGCTCAGCATGGTGTGTCAGAGCCTGAGGTGAGGGATTAGGGTGAAGCTGGAATGAAAACGAATGGGGCCTAGAAGGCATCCATGTGGAAGGGATGGCAGGTTGAGGATGAGGCCTGAGCTGCAGAGCAGCCTGCTCAGGGTGTCAGAGCTGGAGGGAGATTAGCATGTGTTTGTAGGAAAGTGAGGCAGCAACTGAACTCAGGTGAGATAAGGAGAGGTCCACAAAGGAAGGGAGGAAACAGCAGTGGTCCTGCACTGAGGTATCCAACTTGTGTGAGGGGTAGACAGTGAAGGCTCAGCCCTAGAGCTCAAAGGAGGGTAAGGAGGCAGGGGTAGTGACAGAAGAGTGGTTCCACACAAATAAGAAAATATGCTAAGCAAACAGGGCAAAGGTTTTCACCTTTGTAGAATGTAGTCACAAATCCATAAAGGGAAGAAACTGAAATGATTCCTATGCTGGATTGGAATTGGAGCCAATCATGTGAATCCAAGGCTATTCAATATGTAAATGTACAGAAATCGGGATGTTAGAAGCCATGTGGGTCTGGATTTGCCTGTACTATCCCCAGGCTTTATCCACTGAAGGGCCTGGAGTCAGCAGAAAACACACCTGGTGCCTGGATCCTGGTCTTACTGGTACTTAGAGACGTACCATTCCCCACTAAAAGGAACTGGGTCTCCTTAAAGAAAAGGCTGATTTCAGATCTGGGACAGGAAATGTAAAAGATGAATATGAAGCATTTGGCTTACTTAGAATAGCCACGAGTTAGCAGTCAGAAAATCCACATTGTGGGGTATTCTATAAGATAGCTTGCCTGGACTCTCCGAAATTGTCAATGCCATGAAAGACCAAGACAAAATGAAACCAAAAGGCAAGAAGGACTGTTTTAGACTAAAAGACATTAAAGAGATATAATACCAAATACATAAGTGATACTTGCTTTGAGCCCAGTTATATTTGGAAAAAAAAAACAGAAAGATTGTTATAAAAAAATACTTTGGAGTCAACTGGGAGAATTGAATGTAGACAAAAGATTATCTATTTATATTAGCTAACATTGTATTAATGTCAGATTTCATGAGAGTAATAATGGCTTTGTTATTATCATTATAATAGTGTCCTGGTTCTTTGGAGTCAAAAGCTGAAATATTTTGGGGTGAAGGAATCATGATATTTGCAACTTACTTTCAATTGAATTGAAATGCACACACACAAACAAAATAAAACAAAAGGTACAGTGTGAATTCTTAGAAAAATACTGTAAATGCGTAAAACACTAATTATGGATGAACTTGGGTGAAGGTAGTGGCTATGCTTTGTACTATTCTTTCAACTGCCCTATAGGTTTGAATTTTTAAAAAATAATTGAAGGAAATAAGAAAGTATCAAATTTTTACTTTTTAGAGATGCTTACTAATATAACAAGAATAAAATGAAATACCTGGATTTGCCTTAAAATATTCAAGAAAAAAAAATGGGGAGAGTGGGAAAAAACATGACGAGATGGTAAAGGTTGAAGCTGTGTGACAGGCACGGGATGCGCACTCTGTACCTCTGGATACAAGTGAAGAAAACAGGTCCCAGACTAAAAAAAAAATGTATTTTCTATAAACTTATAAAAAGGTTAATGCTGAATATACATGAAAAACTTATGTAAATATGAGTGAAAAATAGTAAAAGACAGAACAAAACAAAATAGTAAAAAAAACCACTAGAGCATTCAGAGATAAATGGACAAAGGGCAGGGGTTCATAATAGAAAAACAAGTGCCTGCCTAATTAACATGAAAAAAGTTGAACACCACTAGTAATTAAAAAAAATAAAAAGAAAGTTCAAACAATTTAATGTTTTTACCTATTAAATTAGCAAAGATTAAAAAAATAAAAACTCCCAGTTATAGCCCAGATGGCCATAAATGTTGATAAGAATGAACAATAGTGAAACATTTATGAAAAGTAATTTGGCAAGTGAATGAAGAACCTCGAAAATATGCATGTTCTTTAATCCAGCAATGGAATTAATGGAAATTTACTTTAAGGAAAACTCTAAAATGGCAATGATTCTTTCTGTATAAAATTATTCAAAACAACAAAACAACAAAAGTTTTAAGTGGCTCAAGAGGGGAACAGGTAAGTAAATTTAAGCGAAGTAATTATATGATCACTTACAACTAACTAAGGAAAATCTGTGTGATAATGATTATATGATGTGCCAGGCACCATAGTACTAGCCTGTAATTCCAGCAACTTGGAAGGATGAGGCAGGATGATCGCAAATTTGAGGCTAGCCTTGGCAACTGAGCGAGATTCTGTCTCAAAATAATAAAAAGGGCTGGGGGATGCAGCTCAATGGTATAGTGCCCCTGGGTTCAGTCTCCAGTATCGGGAAAAACAAAAACAAAACCCAAAAAACCCAAAACATCAACTCTGCCCCCTACAATTACATGAAAAAAGAAAAATCATGTATTGACTGAATGAATTCAATTATATAAAAAGAAATAAAAATATTCAAAAGGAAATGTATCAAAATTTAATGCTTGTTGAGTCTGGGTGGTGGGAATGTGAATGATCCTTTTATCTTTTTTCCTTGTGCTTTTCTGTCTTTCCCAAATGTCTTATGCTAAAATGTATTACTTTTGTAATCAGGGAAAAAAATACACATTATTATGTTTTAGATGTTGTCTCAACCTGGTCCTTTGCCCTGGTATAAATTTTTATGATTGCTCCTGTCATTCCAACAAGAGGAGAATCTTCACAAGTGATGGCTAGCCCTAGTGGCATTAGGGATTCACCTACGTGGGATGGATTTTAACTAGCACAAAGGACCCTATAAGTAGGAACATTCAAAGGCAATTAGTTGGTAACAATATTATAAATAGAAAA